TATTTCTGTTCCATTTTCTTCTTCTTACTCATTTTATTATTTGAATGAGTTACTTGTTCTCCTCTACTCCATAGAATGTGCTCTTTATAAGGGCTCAGTCCATCCCTCTTTTGTTTGCTTAGTCCCCGATACTCACATGATGCCAGCACATAGTATGTGCTCAGTTTGTTCCCCCAGTTCCTGTGAAGTTCAGTCCCCAGGCCTGCACTAACTGACCAGCAGTGACAGGTGGATATGAGTGGGGCCTGTGTCTGGAGCTGGAGGTGAGATGAGAACACAGCATCCTCCTCATGTCATCTGAGGCCCCGGTGGTTCTGAGACCCCAGACCACCATTGAGGAGAGAGGCAAAGAAGGACTACATGTGCTCAGAGCCTGCTGAGACCAGACATCTGGACCTTATGGATCTGTTTTCTCATTTCTTTGCCTTTTGCACTGAGGCTTCTTTGCATCCCAGTACGGTAAACTGGTAGACTCTGAGCAGTCTTATGTCACTGGTCAAGCTGGGGCCCAGAAGTGCGGCTAGGGACATAGAATATTGACAACGATCCATACCCACAGTTCCAAGCCCCTTCCTCCTCCACCCAGTTACTCCCCAAGGTTCTCTGGACTTCCTGTCCAACCAGCAATGCAGGGTTGCTGCTCGGGGTGATTGTTCGGGGCTGGGCATACTAGTTGTGGAATAGTCTGAGCATCTGTTGGTGAATTTACCTTTGGGCATTTCCTAAGAGAACCTGCTGCATGCCAAAGACTGGGAAGGTGTATGGGGTCATGTCATTTAGTTCCTGCAAACCCTTCAACTGTCTGACACTGATTCACAGTCCAGACCCTTCAAGTCTAAAGGGATCCTGGAAGTCCCCCTGGGCAGCTCAGAAGCTGGTAGCCAACCTGGCCTCAGTGGGTAGGAACAGTGTGTAAAGAATGTAGCTTTGTCCCAGACACACTTCCTCTGCTGTTGTCCCTGCCTCAGGGGAAGGGCTTGCTGCCTTTCTGTAATTTCCATCTGGGTCACTAGTCCTGGCCAGGAGGGCTGTGATTACACCCAGCTTAATTCAGACATAATGCGATCACTGGGGCTCTCAAAATGCAGAGTTTGCAGGGTTAACAGGCTGGTGCCATATGACTAGGGGCCCACACAAATACCCCACAGCCTCAGGCAGCCACAGAGGAAGAGGGAGACAATGTGCAGGAGGCAGCACGCTGAGGTGGCAGCTGCACCCAGGCCCACGAGGAACCTAGTCTTCAGCATTGGCACTCAAAGCCCAGGGTGCACCTCAGCAAAAAATGTTTGGTGTCACACAGTTGCAGATACAGCTCAATAGGTTCTTACTAAAACACTCCAATGACTTTTTAAAAACAACTGTATTGAGATATAATTCATATATCATACAGTGCATTCATTTAAAGCATGCAGTTCAACAGTTTAAAAAATATTTTCAGATATGTGCAACCATCACCACAATTAATTTAGAATATTTTCGTTACCTCAGAAAGAAACCTGTACCCTTTAGTGGTCACTCCCTGCTTCCGCAACCTCCTCTCAGTCCACTCATCTATCTTATGTCTCTATAGATTTGCCTTCTCCAGACATCCACTATGCAATTATATAATTTGTAACCTTTTCTGACTGGCTTCTGTCACTGAGCATCATGCTTTCAAGATCCATTTATGAGTAGCAATGTGTCAGCACTTCACTCCTTTTTATGGCTGAGTAAGATTGCATTTGTGGATAGACCACATTGTGATTTTGATTGGCATTTCCCTAATGATTAGAGATGTTGAACATCTTTTCACATGCTTATTGGGCATTGTACCCATTGCATTTTTATAAACTGCATGACATAGCTTACATGCAAAAAGAAGGCACAAAGACCATCTGTGTTTATTTAAAAGAATAATTATAAAGTACCCATATCGAGGAATGGAAGAGTGCCAGGACCCCGGAAGCCATCTAGGTGACTCTCAGCAACCACAGCCCCTTGCTCCGGACCCTAGGGACAAACAATGTCTTGGTATTTGTGTTCCTCATCTCTCTACTTTCCATACATTCCCTCTGTATGTGCCCTGAAGAATCCAGTTTTGCCCACTTTTGAACTTGATACAGATGAAACAATTCTATGGAAATCTTTCAATTGCTTCTTTTCCTCCCTGCTGTGTCTCTGTGGCTATTTGCTGACATTGCCCTACAGTGTGCTGATGAGTACACACGCCTCAGTTCATTCATTCTGCCATGATGAACAGACACCCAGAGGGTGCCCAGTTTGGCATCGTCATGAACACTGCGGCTGTGAGCACCCTGAAGCCTGCTTCCTGTACACACACACACACACGTGTGTTTCTCTAGGCTACACAAGTTGCACGTTTTCTATGTATCTTCATCATTGGGAACACCACTGTGTCTGCCTTCCAGCCAGCAGTGTGTGCAGGTCCCAGGGGCTCCATGTCCTCGCCAGCACTGAGCAGCATAGGAATTCGTCTGGCATCCTCAGCATTTCTGTGTCAAAGTCTCTGATGGCACTGAGACCTCAGTCAGCCAGCTGTCATGCCTCAGAAACACCACCTAAACCTGCCCCCAGCATGCATCACACCTCTGAGCCTCACTCCTTCCACATGCTTTTTAGGCCAAGGCAGAAAGGTGGGCTGGACATCTGGGAACTCTGTCCTCACTGATGACCAAAAGGGACACCTGTGTTATTTGGGTGGCTACTCATCAGTACCAGCTCTAAGTGTGTGGAAGTCACATGAGGGTATTGACACCTAGTATGTGCTCTGTCACACTAGGTGTCCTGCTAGTTCAGTGCCTAATCTGTCAGAATCTCAACATTTGCAATGTTTGCAGCATTGCTGGCTTCTTTGATTGCAAGTACTGTGTTTGAAACACAGGTGACCCTGCCTTCCTGTTGAGTATAGTGACCAAGCATTGGTCACATCCTCCTGGAAGCAGAGCAACTAGGGCTGGTCAGACCATAATTAAAGGCCCATTCTTGGTGACAAACCTCTGTGTCCCCAATACCCACACAGGCCCAGCACAGACAGTAGCACTAGTGACTACTTTTTGAATGTCTGATTCTGTTCTAGCACTCCGCCTTCGTCAGAAATGACAAAATTGCTTTCACTCCATGTTTCAGTGAAGGCAGCTGAGCCCCAGAGATGGGGTGTGTCAACCCCAAGGCACATAGCTAGCAAGCAGGCACAAGCACTGGGGTTACCCCTCAGCAGTGGGCCTCTGATGCCACGCCCACCAGTGTGCCCGCTCTGGGAGCTAGCTGAGCTTCAGCTTTTCTCTGTAAGTGGGATCATGCTAACCTGAATGAGTTAAATAAGCTGCATATATAAAAGCACGGTCACAGTGTGTGTAGAAGTGATTAATAACTGTTCAGTTATTTACTAATTTATTCACTTATTTTTTCACTGTGCAACAGGCAAAAGTAATTTGACTGTCTGGAGGAAGGACTATGAAAATGCTCATGTACTGTGATGCAGAAACTATGCTCACTCACACACCCCCATCCAGTGCCTGGTACACAGTAGGAGCTTAATAAATGTCTATTAGGATAAAATAGGCTGAAGATGATGAGGAAGGAAGAGAAGCTTTTGTTCCAAATATACTTGCTTCCACATTATGTATAGTTAAAAAGAAAGAAAGAAAGAAAGAAAGAAAGAAAGAAAGAAAGAAAGAAAGAAAGAAAGAAAGAAAGAAAGAAAGAAAGAAAGAAAGAAAGAAAGAGGGGAAGGAAAGAAAAGTAAAAAAAAAAACACTGAAAACAGTGTAAATACCCTGTACTATTGGGGGAGTGGCAAATGCTGCCTTCTTTTATCACTGGGATAGACAAAGCTGAGGTTAGCAAAACATGGTCCATGGACCATGTCTGGCCCTATATATGTAAATAAAGATTAAATGAAAACCAGCCATTTAGTTTTGCCTGTCTTTGACCTTCACAATATGTTCTCTTTAGTGTCCAACTTTTTTCACTTAACATTACATCTTAGAGGTCTGTTCTTCTTGTATTAGTAGTTCATTCTTTTCCACTGCTGTCTGGTAATTCATCATATGATTGCAATTAGTCACTATTTATTATTATCCCCATTCTATATATGGAGACACTGCAGCACAGAGGGCTGAAGTAAATTTCCCAAGGACACACAGCAGATTTGTGTTAAATCTGGAATTTGAACCCAGAGCCCAGAATCTGTGCTGTAACCACCCCTCCCACATACAATGCTGCCTCTCATGCAATGATGATGGAAGCCCAAGGGTCTCAGGAACTCAGAAGAAGGGACACATCCGACCTGGTAGCCAGGGAAATATGCCAGAGAAGCTTAAATTAGAGCCATGGTTTCCATACTTATATGTCCACAGGGCCTGGCAGGTATCATAAGTGATCAACGCAGTTGACTTCTGAAAAACCATGGCTTAGGGTCAGGAATGTAATAGGAGCAGTGAGGACTATGGCAAATTGAAGGATACCAACCAAGAGGACACCTTTTGGTATAGGTCCAAGCATTGTTGCCATATGACAATACTGGCAAAGATTGTGGTGAGCCAGCACACAGCAGGGCAACCAGACTGGCATTTGTGGCCAGATTCTATGCCAGGAAGTCAGCACTCAGCTGCACCATTTATTAAATAATTTAACTATCACTCCAGGGTTGCCAGATGCACTTTCTGTTTGGAAAAAAAACCATGGAAGTCTACTTTTAAGTCCCCTGGTTCCAAAATTATTTTAAACCTATGCAGACCAAAGAGAACTTATGTGTGATCTGGACTGGCCTGAACAATCTAAGGACCACACAGGACCTGGGAGGCAATGAAGGCGAGTTAGTTCCAGGTGGAAGGCACAGCACAAGGGCTGGAGATGAGAAGAATTTGAATCCAGGCCTGAGTTTCCTGCACCAAAAAGAAAAACAAAAGCCAAAGCCAGCTAGTTGAGGGAGGGGGTGGGCCGGCCTGGGTGGCACGTGCAGTGACGTGCACTGTGTTCTTCCCTCCCCACCTCTGCAGATCCTGGAGGAGAACATGAAGCTGGAGTGTAAGTGCCATGGTGTGTCAGGCTCCTGCACCACCAAGACGTGCTGGACCACACTGCCGCAGTTCCGTGAGCTGGGCTACGTGCTCAAGGACAAGTACAACGAGGCTGTACATGTGGAGCCTGTGCGCGCCAGCCGCAACAAGCGGCCCACCTTCCTGAAGATCAAGAAGCCACTGTCATACCGCAAGCCCATGGACACGGACCTGGTGTACATCGAGAAGTCACCCAACTACTGCGAGGAGGACCCCGTGACAGGCAGCATGGGCACACAGGGCCGTGCCTGCAACAAGACAGCCCCCCAGGCCAGCGGCTGTGACCTCATGTGCTGTGGCCGTGGCTACAACACCCACCAGTATGCCCGCGTGTGGCAGTGTAACTGCAAATTCCACTGGTGCTGCTATGTCAAGTGCAACACCTGCAGTGAGCGCACCGAGGTGTACACGTGCAAGTGAGCCCAAGACCGCACTGCGCGTGCCCTCAAGTCAGGTCCCTTGTGGGGAAGACCGGTCTCCAAGCTGCACTCGCCCTGGCAGGTCACTTCCCCAGACTTCCACAGGGAACTGCCAGAATGCTGAGCTTGTCTTTTCTGCTGCAGAGGCACTTGCAGGGTTTCCTACAGGACCTGTGGGGAAGGGCTCCCCAGAGCCCTTAAGGGTTCTAGTCCACACCCAGTGCTGCTGCTCCAGCTACTCCGGGCCTGCCTGGGGCCTTCCTTAGCTGCAGTAGAGCCTTCCACAGCAGGAACTCTGGATCTTTGGGCCTCATCATAGCAATATTTAACAATTTATTCTGATTTTAAAAGTAATATTAATTTATTTAATTAAAAAAGTCCTTCCACTCATTGGGATCCGTTTTCTGCAAAATGGGCTGCTTGCTTTCTTTGCAGGAAAATTTTGTCACTAGGACAAGAAGCCAGGTACAACTGTACAAAATTATTCTTTAAGCAGACATTTCTACTAGCTGATTCCACAAATATCCCTGCACTAGATGTTTAAGAACAGAGATGTCCATGTCCTTTACATATATAGATATACATACACTTTTTTTTTTGTTTGTTTGCTGCTACTTATCCAGACATTTAAGCTAGTCCAGATTTGGAGACATTTTTCAGAAAACATTTCCTACCCTTTAGTTCTCCCCAACTCAAACTTCACCCTTAGAAAAACCCAGTTTGGAATATATAGAAAGAGGAAAGATAATAACTCCCAGCAGTTTCCATCTTTTAGAAAGTGAGCCTCTGGATAAGAGAGAATATTTTGTAAGAAACTATTTTTATATGAATATTTTATTTATATTGAGCCTGACTGTATCATTCCAAGGCCTGTGCTTCTTCTTAATTCTAGGGCTTGCTTTGGGGTAAGGAGGGCAAGGCCTGGGTATGGGGTCAGGCCCCACGAGGACCCTCACATGGCTGGGTTTTTGAGTTCTGTTAGCCAAATGGGCAAAGGCATCCAGTGGGTGCCTGTTCTATGGTGTCATCCATGTCACCTGGAAAAGGAATTAGATCCTCAGTTCAGCCTGTTATACTCAGGCCTTTAGAGCAACATCACTGAGTGGTGACCTCATGATGAGCCATGTGGTAGGTAGGTCTGTGTGTCCTCAGCATTGCGTGAGCATCGCAGGGACTTAGTCATTGCCACTGGGCAGAACCCAGCTCAGGGAGCCTACTCCTCACCAGAAAGCCCCTGCCATTGCTGTGCGTCTCAAGGGGTAAGGGTGAGGTGCAGTCTTCAGTTATGGGGCAGAAAAACTCGAGTGAGGAGTCCCAAGCACATCTGGGCTTTCTGGATGTCACAGTCCCAGGACAGACCATCAGAGAGAGGGGCGTGGACGAAGCCTCCCCTCTCTGGGTCCTCCTTCATCCAGTGCCTCTGAACTTGGAAAGCTTTCCTCAAGGAGGCTGTGTGTGTTCTGTGTCCATTTGTGTTGTGTGACTTTAGGGAGTCTTGGGGTAGTCATGTGACTTTGTGCTTCCGTGTACCTCTGGGGTGTTGATGTGTGTATATCTTGTGTGCTCCTGTGTGTACCCAACTATCTCTGTCTCTCTCCATCTGTGTGCCTGAAAAATTTGGGTGGTGTGTGCCTGTGGGTGTGTGCCTATACATCTCTGCTTGTTGGGGAAGGCTTGTGGTGTTGAGTCAAACTATAGAGACTTTTGGTAATTGTGTTGAGCCATGAAGAGATGGCACCTCTGAACTCTATGCCCACAGACACTGGCTAAACTCAGGTACCTCTGAGACCACAGCCCCACTGCCCCTTGCCCTGGGAGCCCTCCATGTCTAGGCTGTATTGGACACTCCAGGGAGAGCACTGGGCCTGGATCACAGCATGGACAAATAAAATGGCTGGACAGTTGGTTGATTTCTTCCCTTGGACCATGTTTTTCTTCTTTGGTGTTAGAATGGATAGGCATGTGAAGGAATGAGTGGATGGATGGTTGGATGGATGGATGGATGAATAGATAGAAGGATAATGGGTGAATTGGTGGACAGATAGATAGGTGGATAATAGCTGGGTGGATGGATTGATGGATAGACGAATGGGTGGGTGAGTGGGTGGGTGGGTCCATGGGTAAGGGAGAAAGAAATGCAGAAGTTTCTTGAAGTGCCCCATGTCACAATTTATCTCTGCCTTGGAAAACCTACAGTGTCTACCATGAGCAAAGAGGTTTCTCAAGCCTTCAGTCCCTTTGCTGTTGGCTGGCCTCCTGGCACCTGAGAGTGAGGGAGGTTCTGATCAGCCTCTCCAGATGATTATTTAATGTTAATCACATAGGGATTATACATAGGGATGATCACATAGGGATTATACATAGGGATGATATCAGAAGTCATCCCTATGTGTTGTCTTGCTATTCAAATGAAGAGTGGGCCTGGCAGGAGGGCAGCTGGACTTGTGAGGAGAATGGCTGGGTCAGCTGCTGGCCTATCACTTGGCTCCTCAGCGAAGTGTTAGTTTCCAACCTAGGGGCTTGCCCTCCCTCTAAGGTACCCAGCTCAGCTGTGCTCTGAGCCTCAGTTTTTTCACCCTTAAAAGTGGGATAAAAATACCTACCTTTCAGGGCTATTGTGATTATATGGCACTTTGAGTTTCAAAGTAAGGGATGAATGCTAAATATTATTTATTATTATTACTATTAGTTATTACTATTATTACTATTCTCTCCACAATGATAAGATTCATCAAACACAGCTTATGATAATAAATATTTCACTCTGTGTTAGGCAAAGGTATTTTGCCCTCTTTGCTTTACTTCTAAAGTGGCTTTTCTATAACACTGACATTAAAAAGGCAAAAATTTTAAGAGTAAAAAAATTAGAAAGTACGGGACTAGTGTGTCAAAAGCTTAGGGTGCTGGTGCGTACCACCTGGGAAGTGAGCTGCTCCACACAGGCCCATTATAGCTGCATGGGAATGTGGGCCTCCTCACAGCCAGACCCTCTGATTTTTCAAGAAGGGTTGAACATCTGGTTTTTTAAAGTAAGATCCCCTATTTTTTTCTTTTGATATGTCAACAAACACCCTAAGGATGGAGCAAATCATGACTGCAAGCTGAACTTGGCATCTGTACCACCAGGGTGCAGCCTCTGACTTGGACCAAATCTCTTGTTTTAGTGATGGAGAAACTGAGGCCCAGATGGGGACAGGGGCTTTATGCAAGGCCGCACAGCAAGCCTCGCAAAGAGAAGGCCAAGGACAGGACTTGTGCCTCCTAGAACGACCAACACAGTGTACCCCTGAGGTGACAAAATAATGTGGAGGGGTGAGATGGGAAGGGTGAAATTCCTACTTGTTCCAATGAGCATTTGGGGTGAGGCAAGAGTCTATTTACAGTTGTGATTATGCAAAGCAGAGTTTATTCCTGTATTGTTATTAGTTAGTATATTATTTTCCTTATGAACAGCTGTAAATCTACTTTTCCTCACCCTGTGTGTATTTTCACTTGTGTGTGTACATGCACTCACACCCCTTTGGACTTAAGTTCACAGCTAGCTCAAAGCTCTGTGGGGTAATGGGCCTGTGGCCTGAACCACTAAGTGGGGGTACCCTGGAAGCTAGCTAGGGGAACCCCAACCTTTCATCCTCTCACCCACATCTCTTCAATCAAGGGAATCCCTTAGCAAAACCCAGGTTAGGAGAGTCCTGGGTTGATACCTTTCCCTACCTGAGATAGAGCTGTCCCCTGTAATCTTCAAGGCAAGTTTGTGATGTGTTTCCTGAGACCCTAGGAGGGCTCCCATTCCCACTTGCATATGAGAGCCAGTCTCAGGGAAGAGAAGTGACTTCTTCAAGACTCTACCACTGGGAAGTAAGGAAACAAGGGCTGTAGTCTGGGCTATCCTACATCGCCCCTGGCACTTGGTTCTGAGCCTTCTGCCTGCTAACAGAAGATTAAGGAAGATAGAGAGAAAGGACTCGATGTGGACCACATAGGGCACCCAAGTCTGATGTAGATTGTCATTGTCAACTTTTTCCCACCTTACTGAATGCATCCAACAGGTCGCCAAGATCTGGCAATTCTTCCCTGGGGTTATCGCACAGCCAATCCACCTTCCTCACTGACTCTGGCCACCATTGTCCCTCACCTAGGAGAATGCCACCACCTCCTCCCAGGTCTCCCTGCTTCTACCCACACCCCATTAAACCAGCCTTCCAAGCTCTGGCTAGACTAATCTACTCTCTACCTATACCCAGATGTGGCTCCCCATTTTTGTGCAGATGAAGAGCAAGTTCATGTGTCCCTCATAACCTGGCCTTTGCCATGCTGGCAGCCTTGCCTCTGCCTCCCCTGCACAGCAGTAACAATGCTTCCATTTGTGAAGTTATTACTCTGTGCCAGGAAAGGTCCTAGAAAATTTTTCATGGCTTCTCTCTTATCTTCACACCACCCTCTACATCTTGTACCTTTGCTGTGTTCTCTGCCAGGAGCAGTCACCTTCCTTCCCTCCACCTGACAGATTCCTGTTTCTCCAAGGAGCCCTTCTGTGTTGTTGCCAGAAAGATGGGATCTGGAGCCACCATGTGTAGGTGGAGCCCTGTTATTATTCTCATCCTGAGCTCCTGACATCAGAACCACACACTCCTTCATAGTGCCCCAGAGCCACCTTCCAACCAAAGGCTGGAAGTTGAAGGAATTCACCCACACAAATCACTGGCTGGACTCTATGGCCAGAGCTCTTTGCCTTCTTAGGGAAGTGTATCAGTTAGCTATTGCTAAGTAACAAACCACCCCCAGACTCAGTTGCTTCAAACAACTATATCATTGTTCCTAAGTCTATGGATGACTTGGCCAGTTGTTCTGATCTCAGCTGGGTTCTCTCATGGTCTGCTGTGGGTCAGGAGGTAACCCTGCTGATCTTCACAAAATTCTGCCATGTGTTTTGGGTTCAGCTGGCTACTGGGCTGGTCTAGAATGGCTTTAACTAGGGCAAATGGGTCATCTGTCACATGATCTCATCTTCCAATAGGCTATTCCAAGCTTGTTCACACCAGACAGGAAGAATTCCAAATGTAAGAGAAGAAGCTGCCAAGCTTCTTGATGCCCAGGCTCAGCATTGGCACCAGGTTAGTTCTGCTACATTCTATTGGCCAAAGCAAGCCACGGGGCCAGCTCAGATTCAAAGTGTTAGGAAAGAGACTCTTTCTTAAGATAGCAATGGGCATGGGACAGGGAAAGGACTTAACCACAGGACCAGTGTGAAGACATTCACATCTGCTGCCCTGAGCAAGCCAGAGTGTCAGCACTAATCATGTGGCAGGGACATAGCCACTCCGAGCTTGTCCACCTGTCAGTCACCTTGTTCTGGAGTCAGTCTTGGGTCTTGTCTTCCTCTACCCAGTCCATCAGAAAATCCCAATGAGTATACTTCAAAATATACCTAAATCTCACCACTCTGTCTGCATAGCCATCAGCCATCTGTATATCTGTATGAACTGGGTCAAATTCTCACCACAACCAGGACCTCTATGTAGGTCCCACTGCTAGACCACATTACCTGTCTCCATTGTGGTTGGGAGTGGCCATGTGTGTGGGCTCTGGACCATGGAGTGGGGATGATGTGCTCCACGTCCAAGCCCATCTACACCTCCTGTGCTCTTTGCCTTCCACTGGGGTTGTGAGGTGTGGGCAGTAGAGCTACGGAGAAAAGGCCCCAAGATTCCTGAATACCTGAAGGAGAACCACCCAACAATCAGGAACACCCATGAGTGAGAAATCTGTCTATTGTGAAAAGCCACTGAGATTTCATCTGTTTTCAACAGATAAGTTCATCTGTTATAGCATAGAGCCCCTCTCTTACTAGACTCCAGCCACAGTGGCTTTCTTTCTGTTCTTCCAATATGCTAGAGTTCATCCTGCCTCTGGATCGACCTTTGCGTGTCCTGTTCTCTCTGATTTTCTTGCATAGCTGGGTTTTCCTGGTTAAAAAGACTTGACTCAAGTTCCAGCACTTCAGTTTGCACCTCCAACCACCCAGACTTCCAGCGCCTTTCATCCACTATTTTTGTTTTCTCTTTTGTGGCATTTGCCACTATCTAAAATGATATTTCTCATTTACTAGAGGTTGTACAGTACAGTGGTTAAGAGCATCAACCCTGGAGCCAGATGCCCTGTGTTCAAACCTGGTTCTGCTATTTTCTGGCTGTGTAGTTTAGGACAAGTAGCTTAACATTTCTGTACCTGTATTTTGCCATTTGTAAAATGGGGCAGCAAAAAAAAAATCATCACAGTAATTAAATGAGCTAACCCATGTAAACTGTAAAATTCAGTGCTTGGTACATTGTAAGGGCTACAGACGTGTGAGGTTCAGATATTACCGTGTTTGTTAAGTTTCATGAGTGCAGGACTTTGGCTGCCTTTGTTGCCACTGGGTCCCTCATGTGCAGCACACAGTCAGGGTTAGCAAACGTTTGTTGAATAAAAATGAATAAAGAGCTGGAGACTGTTTCCAGACTCACCAGGCCCCTCCTGGGGGGCAGTGGGCTCAAGGGGCCCTCTGAATCCAAAAGCTGGGAGACAAGAGGCAAAAGGTTGGGTGGGGGGTGTGGAGACAGATCAAATCCCCTTGACATGGTCACAGGCACATCTGCTCCATTGACAAGGTGCCTGCTGGTTGCCACAACAACACTCCTGGCCCCAGAAGAATGTGCTGGAGACAATGGCCACCCCCAGCTTAGCCCCCAGGATGGCAAGCTGCCTCTGACCCAGAGAAAGTGTCACACCATTGCTCATGCATGCACACACAAGCCTGTGGTTGCACATGGACACTGAGCAAGAAACCCTGTGGGGCCTGCACACACCCAAAACATTACATACAGCC